AGGCAGTGCCATCCAACAGGCCAACCAGGTGTTCAAGGCAGCCCGGCCAGGTGTGAGGAAGGTGTCGATCATCATCACCGACGGACAGGCCGATAAGAGGGACTCGGTCAGTCTGGAGAGTGCCGTGACAGAAGCCCAGAGAAGCAACATTGAGATGTTTGTGATCGGAGTGGTGAACAAAAGCGATCCACTGTACAAAGAGTTCAAGAAGGAGCTCAACTTCATGGCCACTGACCCCGACAGTGATCACTTGTACCTGATCGATGAATTCACAACACTTGCAGGTGACTGGCCTTGACACAGGCTTTATGATCTGATAGTTTTGTCTGACTGAAATGCAGCAAAAAATGCTAAGTAAAAAGCCTAGTATAATACAATAAAGTGGATTTAGAAAGAACCATTTTACTTTATCTGCACCTGAACATGAAAGTAAATATGATGAACCTGAAACTGGGGAACGTCTTGTATTTGTGTGCTTTGGTTCAGAAATACTCCCTCAGAAAAACTGCTGTGTTGTTAAATGCAGAGTAGAACTGTCCATTTGTCTTCTGGTGTTTGCAGCTCTGGAGAAAAAACTTTTGAGTCATATCTGTGAAAACGGAGAGAGACACTTGTTCAGCTCCATCCCGAGCTCGGGGCTTCCTCCAGGAATCCCAGAAGTCTCCAGCAACGCTCGAGAACCACCACACAGGACAGACACGGACACTCCCACTTTCACAGGAGACTTCAGGAGAGTCCAGAAAATGGTGAAAACGTGCTGGTTTTTGGTTTTTTAAACTTTGTTCTGTGCGCTCAGACTCTGTTGCAATATCGAAAGGACACTAAAATCATCTTCACAGTTTGGTGACTTTTTCTCTAGCGCCAACAGCAGGTCAGAGTTTTCTTTATTCAGGTGAAATATCAAAACATTTACCAATTCAAAAACTCAGCAAATGTTGCCATTTGTCTAAATATGCCAACATGCTCAAGCTGAAAGCACCACAGTGCTTAAAACATTCCTCTGGGGGTCATCAATGAGTTACGAATAACTGCCTAAAGACCCCAAAATATTTTCTTCTGTTAATATTTATATCAAAATTAAAAAAGCAAAACAAAATGTGGACCACATTCTTAAATAACTCAAATGGCTGGTGATTGTTTCCCTCAAAGTTAAAGACTCTTAGTAAAATGTATGTAAATCTCTGAGCTCTTGTGTAAATCTGTTGTCTTCAGCTGCTCTGAAGCTCTGCACCACTTCCCACAGATTTCACTCAGTGACTATGACTAGCTCAGGTGTCGCCTGGTGACCTCTGTACCTCTCTACAGTAAGATAAACTAAACATTAAAGATTTTTCTGTGCCTGTTTCAGCCCGGCCCTCCTGGTTCACACCCTGACGGTGAGTCCACTTCTAGAAAGAGGCCGACGATGAACAGTAGGACCACCTTAGAAACTCAGAGGCTTCCGTTCTTCGACAGGGAGCCCTTCAGGCCGGTAACAGAGTTCCTCCCACAGTTTGATGTGAACAACCCCACACACGATGTGGTGATGACCGGAGCCATCGGGCCAGCTGGTCCTACTCTGAAGACTCCGCCTGAGGAGAAGATACCACCGGTACCAACTCCGCCCCTGCTGCCCTCTGACAACTTCCTATCAGGTAACTGCTGACAGTCTGCAGCAGAGACTGTAAGATGGAGAAAGAAAGGTGTCCCCTAAAATGATAGATAAAGCCTCTTCTGTGCATCTAAGTAGTAGCTAATGTATTTTTACAAATTCTAATCATTTTTATCCTAAAGTCAGCCTACATGTAAGGTTTGTTCCTGTTTTGATGAGAAGACAGATGTCTTCTGAGTTCAGTCTATGACTTTATCTGATGCACTATTTCTGAGTTGGGAGATCTGACTTCCTGGAATCTCATCATCACTTCAAGGTTTCCTGGAACCAGTAAATCTCCTGGATCTGTTGGCAAGAAATCAAATAAGCGTTACTCATGTTAATCCAACAAACAAGCTTTCGGACGTACAGTGAATATACAGTGGCTTGCAAAAGTGTTCGGCCCCCTTGAACTTTTCCACATTTTGTCACATTACAGCCACAAACATGAATCA